GATTCATGTCCGATGATTAATTTGGTAACGACGTCTTATCATATCAATGATGTCTGAAGCTCAGAAGGTAAAAACTGTCTGTTGACTCGGTGTCGCTCGCAAGCGATAGGGGGGCTATGGCGAACGACGACAACAACTTACGCAGTTGTTCTTGTCCTCGTTCGAGCTCAGCGGTGATCACAAGTTTGTCGGTTAACGGAAGATGACGACGGCAGCGACGAATAGCCGGCGATCCTCGGTGAGTAGCATCTCGTCGCAGATCAAAATGATGGACATCAGCGATGACCTACGAAAGCGCAAACTGACTATGGAACAGCTGTCAGTGGACGATCAGGAGCGCATTGTCAGCGACATCATGTACACCCGGATCAAGGACAAGCGGAGCCACGTTCCGCATGGCATATCGTAAGACCAACGTCGCTGGACAGCGGTTTCAGTCACTGCCAACGTCACTGACAATTATCTCATTGTAGCGAGGAACAGGCCCTGTTGAACTTGGTCAAGGGCCTGATCGGAACCGGTATTCTTTCGCTGCCCAAAGCGTTCTCCAACGCTGGCTTATGGGTAATGTGCCGCATACACGGACGCCTGATGCTCTGTTTCATTCGAGTTTCCTTTACAGGCTGGCTTCGTCATGCTAGTCGTGCTCAACTGCTGCAACATCTTCTGCCTGCGGATGGTCATCAAGCGCTCACACCAGTTCTGCATGCTGTAAGTGTCTACTTTCGACTCTGCGACCGGGATGTGGTCCGTCATTCGCCGTACTTGCAGGGTCGAGTGTGGAGCCATTGACTACGGAAAAACGGCAGAGTTGACTTTTTCCCTTGGGCCTCCGGCTTTACGAAAGTTTGGAAAGACAGCGAGGTCAGTCTTTATCTGCTTTTACAAATGAAACCCGCGTGCTCTCTTAAACAAAGATGCTTCTGCTCAAATTGAACCTCAAATTATGGTCTGTCGCAAACTGAACGGCAGGGGCCTACACAGAAGGGCAGAAGATAAGAATGAGCACCGAATCATCAACGGAGAAATGCAACAGTTCTACGGATGAGTGATATTTGTATATTGCATTAGTAAGCAACAGACCACGTATGACACGGCAATGTGAAAATTGGTGCGTTAAGATACGTATGTCTCCTGCACAAATGCATCGACGGAATGGTGATCGACCCAAACTTATTAAACCGAGTCTAATTACATCCAGTAAACTAGGTTTATTTTTCATTAATCCATTTTCGAACCCTCAATTCCATGAGGTTACAGAAGCAACAGCTTCAAAGCATTTTGCAGTGGTCATGGTTGTCTGAAAATCGAGCAAAGCTCTTCTAGCTGAGGGTAATGAACAATTGGGCATTGTATTCAGTGCAACAGCTATTCCCCTAGCACTGCTTTCTCTTTGGACGCCCGTTACGACATAGGGCCCGCATAATCAGTACATCTCCTCATTCAAAAAGCAGAAGTTCTCATTCCGAGCCCA